AGGAGGGACGGGCAAGGGATGTGTTGATGCTAAAGACGATCGATACGCTGTTGGAAAAGCCGCCAGCCCGCAATGTACAACCATCCTGCACTTTGATGCTGGTGTTCCTACGAGGCGAAAATGATGCCCTTCGAAGTTTATGGTGTGTTGCGGCAGTTAGAAGCGCATTCATTGTCAAGGGCTTGCATGGGATGGCCAAAGACCGCCGCCAGAAAGAATCACCTGGTCTGTACATCCCAGCCTTCCGCTACAAGGGCGGCGCCAAGACCATCTTCTCCGTTCTCATCGGACTTGCAAAAAAGCCTCATTATCATCTTTCCGTTGATGTCTGCGGGACGGGCAAGCCAACAAAAAACGCCGAAAATACATGCGTACAAAAAAGGGGCGGTTTGTTCGATGACAGCAGTATCATCTAGCAGGTACGACCATGCACCATGAAATTGGGATGACGGCGAGAGACCAACCCGCTATTGCTATAAACGATGTGTGGGCGTTCTCGACAGGGGGGCATAACAGAGATGTAGGGTGTGTGGGGTGGAATGCTTCTTTGGCGAGGAAACAGGGACTTCGAAACAGCGATGCTCTGTGCGCGGCGAAAATTACCGTGTCCCCGCCAAAGGAAGACCACAAAGAAACGCTCGGAAGGAAAACTGGTGACAGCTAACCACGAGATGGAATCCGTCGGCACTCGCCATTCTGTGATTTCGTATTGACGAGTCTCGAAAAAACGCAAGCACGCACACACAAGTTTTCAACCGCACTGAGACTGACGTCTCTTCATTGGTCAGCCGTTTAGCGTGGTCGATGAAAAAAACAAAAACACATACACACGCGCGCACCAGAGCGGCGCGAAAGCAGGTCATGAGGCGACACAACCAAGGCCGCTCTTATGCTGCCAGGCCCGAGAAGTTCAGCTTGGCGTCACCGTAGAGAAGCAAGGAGATGAGACTGATGCCAGCAAGACATATAAAAGTCCATGAATCGAGTACGGTTAGGGGGGGTGTCCGGACAAAAGGTGTGAACACTGTCGCAAACCTTGTCAATCGGAGTGCACAAACACACGCACCTACACTCACATGATGTAATGAAGTGTGTATGTGAGAGCGAACTTTAAGCACAATGATCCGGCAACGTGAGCACGTGAGAGCGAGCTCACAGCAGGATGATTCAATGGAGCGCGCATGCTCTTGAGCGAACGCAGAGCTTCCAACCAGCCCATGCCGGCGGAGACGGTTTTTTTTCCTCACCGACCCACCACAGCTCCTGCTCGAGATGATTCCACGACACCCCCTCGGCTAGCATGTACGCCCCGTCCACGAGAAGGACCGCCCCGTCCGCCGGAAGCTCCGACAGGGGCTTATGCCACACCAAGTTTTGCAATCTCCCCGTCACATCGGTCCTGGCGGGCAAGCGGAAAGCTTTTGTATTAACAAAACAATGTTGAGGCACGCGCCGAGGGACAGGAGGCGGGGGGGAGCTGGACGAGGTCGCATGGAATATGCTGTCAATCAACGAAAAAAGGGATCGTGCCGTACTCCTTGACAGATTCGGGGTAGGAGTGGCGGGGGTGCCCTGAGTGGCACATGCGCCACTCTGCGTGCACACACGTGCTTGTGATACCCCGAAGATATTGTGCGCTGGAAAGCACCCTGGGAGCACAAGCACCAGGACGAAACAAAAACAAACAGCCGCGGCTCAGCGACGGCGAGAAGCCCAAGGGCCGACAAAGCCTCGGCCGCAGCGAGACGGCCGAGATCAAGAGACCCATTGACAATGGTAGTTACTCCACAAAGCCCGTTATGTCCACCTAACTCCATCACGCAGCAGTCTTTTTGGGAAGGGCCTCGACACACTTCGGGAGACGGTCAACGATGCAGCAACCAAGAGGAGGGGTATCCGCCATATTGACATGAACACTCAACGAAGCAACAGTAGCGGCTGCAATCCACAGCATCATCGCACCTCCGTTTGAGTTTCCGGGGTCGTGCGATCGCGTACGCGACGGCGAAGGCCGCCGTTGCCGCTGCTACCACCAAAACGGACGCTTTGGATGATGCCATGAGGGCTGGTCTCTGATGCCACGTTGTTCGTTGATAGGGGAACGTGGTCGGCAAGCGTGTTCGACAAGAGACCCGAACCGACAAAGAGACGGAGGAGATAGAGACAGAGACAGAGACAGACAGAGAGATACGTAAGAGACGGGAGAGACAAAGGGGCCACACGAGGGGAGCGAGAGGGAGAGAGAGGGAGAGAGAGCGACAGAGAGAGAGTTAGGAGGGTGCCTTGTTGTGGTGATTTCACGATTCCCATTTTAGAATCTCCTACTGTTTCCAACCTCGCCAGCTTGCACAAGAACATATTGCTCTCCCGTTGTCCACCCCGAGGCCAAAGCATGTACAGGTATTTGGAAGGGTACACCAGTACCCTGGATCTAGGTGTACAGAGTTGAAGGCCAGATGTGATCCATGCCTTGGACAACACATGATAATGCTACCCAACCCTACCATCGCTATGGTACGTGGACATAAAGTCACCCCTTGGTTGAGAAAACCATTTTGAAGGACACTCCCCCGGTAAAGGGCAACTTTTATTTCACGGGCATGGTGGCTCGCAGAAAGTACAACATAAGAAGGGGTATCAACCTGCGGGCACTACCCTGGCCAAAGGGGGTGCAGAAGAAGAATATTGATGTTGAAAATGTAATTTGAGAACAAACGCAAGAGCACCAGAACCTGTACGACCGACACACCAGACCAGTCGGAAGGCATCGCAAAAAACAGAAATAGTTGATTCTCGCAGAGGGCGGTAGTAGAGGCTGCTCAAAATATATATTCACGCGTCTACCTCCGCACGCCCCTTGGAAATCAAGATAAAAACACCGTTCTAAATTTTAGTCAACAGAGCCAAAACGGCGCTCAAACAAGGTCACTTTTGACGGTTAGGTGGCGCATCCTATTGTCATCAGTAGAGGATATCATGAAGAGGCGTCGTGCGTGCTGGCGACATTCAGGTTTGCTACTGGCGCAGAAATGTCGAAGGTTGCAGCAGCGCCTCAACAGTCCGAAATCTTCGCATGTTAGACCGACACCCAGTGTCTTCTACTGCTTGTGCTCGCCGCCACTGACCCCAATCACCTGAACTGCGGGTTTACTGCTGACAACCCTCCGTTCAGGATTGTACGGTCCGTGGTGGTGAGCACGGCTGTGGCAAATGTTGGATGCCGCTTGGTTCCGGCGCAGACTTCGGACTGATTTCAGAGGCTGCTGCGACCTTCGATATTTCAGCGCCACTAGCAAACCTGAACGTGCCAGCACGCACGACGCCTCTTCATGGTGTCCTCTATTGATGGCAATGGAATGCGACACCTAACCCTGCCGGGAAGGTGGTTTTCTTTATTTGTACATTATACTCCTAGGATTTAAGTTTGGCAAAAAGACCCAGCGTCACAACCCCTTTCCTGCACCCCCAAGGACACCTGTTTAACGATGTGCCTAACCGAGGGACGACGGTACTGCCCAGAATCTACCTATCGACGGGCACGTGTGCATGATGCTGCATGGGGTCTACCCAAACCCTACTAGATCCTGAAAGTTTAGGACATGTACTGCTGTACCCCGACTACAGTACCGTACCCTGTACCCAGGTTACCTTGGCCATTTTTTAAAGCCTTGCCGAATACCTTGCAAGGTTTCAAAAACGGTTGGACATGCAAACTTTTCCCAAGGAACCCGATCGCGGGGCAGACAAAACTTAAATCGCCTTCCTAGTTTCGCCCGGATTGGCGTGGGTATACATTGTCCAACACAGTTGAAAAGCCTGTGAATACAATCTGCTGTGCAGCTCCTGCTAGTGCTACCGCGGCTGATGCTTCAGCTGATGCTTGTGTCGTGCAGGCAGCATACCTCTGCTACAGCGCCGAGGTTTCAAACTTGAAGCAGGTACATATATGTGGCAAATATGTCGAATTGCCCACTGGTTATGCACGGCTCCATGCGATCTACTGATCTCTGCGTCCGAAAGGCTGTTGTAGCAGGCCGGGCTTGGGGCTGGCCAACTGTAAGATAGTACCCGAAAGGTCCAGTACGGGTGCGACAAAGGCCTGCCGACACGCAAAGGCGTGAACCGCAACTGGCTGCGGGAGCGCTGCCCATGTGAAGCCGAGAAGAGCCGGGAAAACTTGCTGGGATGATCGCAAGCCCGCCAGGCGAGCGCTAACTTGTAGGAGTGTGCGTTAGCGCCTCGGACACCGGTCGGTCTCTAGGTTAGCATACTGCTATACTCTGTTGCATACTCCGTGTGGTAAGCGTACCACCACTTACATAATACAGCTGCGCCTTGCATGCAATCGAGTCGTGAAACATCCAAGAAACAGATTGATAAACCTTGAGCGCCGATTGCATGCTAGAACCATCAGCCGTGGCCTACACCCCGTACATTCGCCGGGCGCACAGACAAGCTTCAACACGCGGCGAGAATGCTAGGGCTGGCTGTGGTGCTGACCGAGTGAGGGACGGCATATAGTGTACGCGGGGTATCCAACGCATCCGGCTTACCACAGATGAAAGAGATGCTCAGATACACCTGCTGAAGAACGCGGTGCCTTCCGGCTCGGCCAGGGCGGAGTGCGGACAGCAGTTGGTGGTGCTGATTCCTCCCGGCGAGACGACAGCGTGACTGCGTTGCCTGATGCGGCGCAATTAGCGAGATCGGGTTGTTCGACATCTTCGGAGGCGGTGTTGTTGCCGTTGATGATTTTGCTCACTCACGCTCTCCGCCTTTTGCATCTGCTGTGTCCCTGCTGTGTCCCTGCTGTGTCCCTGCTGCTCGCTGTGTCTAGCTTGGCGCTCATCACAGCTGCATATGATACTCTTATCTTTGTCTGTGCCACGCGAGTAAGGAGCGAGTTTGCGTGGCTCTCTCTGAGGCGAGGCAAGTCCCATTTGGGGCAGCCGCAACAACATAAAAGGCGGGAGTGGACGGGAGGAGAGTAGCAGCAGAGCATGGAACACACGAGCAGCACGCTCGCGTCAGCGGGAAAGGAAAACACGAGGCCTTGGGTAACAAAGCCGACAGCCGTCCCCAAGACACCCACAGCGCGAGTCGGCGTTAACAACCCCGGGAGAACGGCGGCGGCAACCACCAGCAAGCGCGCGGCGGCGGCGGGCAGGAGCGGAGGGCGCGGGTCGGCCTTATCCTTGCGCGCGGACGGAAATGGCGGCGGCCCGTCTTCTGCTCTGAGGGCCAAGACGACCGCTGCTGCCTCCTCTGCTGTTCGCCGCAAGCGGCAGGGGGAGGAGATAGCCGACGTCAGCAACAGCAGCGGCGACTTCACCGGCCCTCAGCGTGTGCGCATCAACAGCAACAGCGTCCCCGCCGACATCTCGCTCTCGTTCTGGTCGCTGCCGGCGTCCACGCCAGACAGCAAGAGCGGTGGCGGCCGGCTCACGTCGAAGACCGTTACGAAGGGCACCGCAGCAGGCGGCAAGAGTGCGTCCGCGTCGACGCGCAAGCGCGCTCGCGGCGGCGGAACACCGCAAGCAGTGGAAACAACAGTGACCACGGCAGCTACAAGAGCCGAGGCAAGGCACCAGGCCTCCAAGTGGAGCAGCGGTGCTACCGCCAGCACCACGGCTACTGGCAGCAGTGCATCCGACCCGAGTGCCGCTGCGAAGACGGACCGTGCGGCAGCAGCAGCGACAGCAAAAGTAGATTCGGTCCCAAGTAATCCCTTCGGGACAGACATATCTCACATCCTGAGCTGGAAGCCCGCTCCCCGACAGAACGCCGCCGGCTCCGATGGCACCGGTGGCAGCCCAACAACGGGCTCCGCATCGACCAACACCACGCCAGAGGCTGGCAGTAAGCAGGAGCAACACAGCAGCACGGGGGGACCCAGCACTCAGCAGCCAACAGCAGCAGCAACCGGGAGCTTCGGTCGCTCCTCTGCTTCTTCGTCTTTTATGACCGTTGCGAGCAGCGGCGACGGGTCACGGGGTCGAACGGCGGGCGGTGTTGGCGAGGAGGCTGGCGTTGGAGCGGCGGGTAGACCCAGGACGCGAGCACCACCGCTGAAGTCGGTGAGCTGCCGTGATGGCATCGCAGTTGTTTTGTTTCATTGCGCTGCTGAGCTGCGGCCTTCGTCGAGAAACGAAGCGTTTAAAAAGGTTTGCAGTTCGCAAAGTGGCCACCAGCTCGTACCACCCCAACGGAAATGGTAAGTGTCTCACCCTGACTTGCCGCACAGGTCAGAGCAGAAAGCTGTCTCAAGCCCTTCCCCGTTGGAGTCTGTAAGCGTACCCCGTTCAATGCACTGGACAAACAATATGTGTCGAGGCTACTGCTGTAGCACTCCCCGGCGACAAAGCCCAGCCAAGTGGATAAGTTGCCTGTCTCAACGAGAGCAAACATTTGAGTCTGTCGTTGTCGAGTTTTCTCCAGCTCTTTCGTGACCTCTCTCGCGCGTCGGGCCACGTTCTGCACAACTAGGGAACCGCCACCGTATCCGCACGGCCCGCGATTTCGTCGCTGGAGGCTTTGAGAGTGCGAGTAGTGAAAAAGGTGGGTGAGAAGAGCGATGACGGTGACGACGGAGGAGGTGGCCCTAGCAGTGACGATGATGGCGACGATGATGGCGACGACGACGATAGCTTCGAAGTGGACTTGAAGCTAGAGGTGCGCGATACGGATACACAGTAGTGGGGGGGGCTGTTTAGTGCCGGTTAAATAGTACCGGTGCCGGGAATAGTGCCTATTTGCTCGGCTGGCTCAGACTGAATCACCAAGTAATTCTATACTTTGAGTAGTGCTTTCGTCCTGGTTCGTGACGGAAGTATCTTGATGCCAACAAATTTGAGCTTGTAGGCGTTTGATGCACCGGACTTGTAAGTTTCATGACTTGGGTGAGTTCCCCGTGTCTGTCATAGCCCTCGCGCCTCCGCTCACAAGTATCCCTCGAAAATTCGAAACCCGGTCTTGAGGAATATTGACTAACCATGCCGCGTACCTGGAGAGTGTTGGTGCGTGGTCAATGGTTTCTAGCCCCAAGGCGAAAAGAACAACGAATGTGTTGTACACCCATGTACCTGCCCGTGCCCGACCTCTGCCTCTTCCAATGCTCTCTATGTAAGCTGTGCCGAAGAGAAAACTCAACGTGTTAACAGCTATGCACTTGCCCGTGCCCAAGCCATGCTCCAACCGCCCCCATGCTCTTTCTCCAGGCTTACGACGCGGAGGTTCGGAGGCGTAGCGCGGACGCGGCGGTTGCTCCGCGGCCCGGTGCGGTGGAATCGCGATCATCGTCGATTTCGGCAGGGGCACGACCACCGTCACGCTTTCGGACGACTTCCGCCGCAGAGACAGCTCCAGGAGCGTTGATCACGGCCACAGCAGGCGCCTCGCACGAGGGTGGTTCGAGAGCTGGTGGGTTGCCGGGAACGGGCGCTGGTCCTGCAGCAGCAGCAGCATCCGTCGAGGAGAAGGCACCGTCGGAGCCGGCGGTATCAGGGACATCGGCGCCGCGGGGACCCGCTTCTTCCGTGATCACGACGCATGATCTCGGCGCCAACGGCTGTGGTAACCGCGGGCGGGGTTTCCTCGAAAGGGGTGGCAGTGGTGGTGGTGGTGGTGGTGGTGGGCCGCTCTGGCGTTCGGCAAGCGGGACTGGAGGAGCGAGAGACGAGGCCGGCATGTACGAGGTTGCCGAGGAGGACGAAGATATGAGCCTCACCATCGGGACCGGAAGCGGACGGCCTATGGTCCCGGTCATGACGGGGGGCGGCGCCGGAAGCGGCGGTAACCTCCGCGGGCGGCGCCAGGGCGGCGGAAATGCGGCCTCCCGAAACGGTACCGGTGTCGCCGCTCAAGACCCCGGGGGCACGGCGGCGGCGGCGGCAGCATTGCCCGTTTGCGAGCATTCACCCTTGTCCGCGTGCGTCAGCAGCAGCAGCAGCAGCAGCAGCAGTGACCCCCGAGTTTTTTCTGCCGAGGAAGGGGGGTCGAAGGGAGATTTGAGGGCGAACGTGGGCTCTAAGTGGACAGATAACAGCGACCGGGGCGGAGGAAGTGCTGGCAGCGAGGGGTTAGGCGATGGGGGCAGCTCTTCAAGTGGGCTGTTGGGCATCGGCGGCAGGGGATGCAGCTTCGACAAACCTGGCAACGTGAGCATTGCTCTGCGGTTTGCCGCGCCACACGCCCGATATTGATTGCCTGCAAGTTTGACGACCCCGACGCCGTCTTTGGGGAGTGGTCCTAGCTGAGCTTGACCTGAAACTTGCTCGCACAACGTGATGGTATCCACGGATGTTTTTCCTCTCAATTCTACACGCCAAAACGTGGATATCAGAGATTCGTCCTGGGTGGAATGTTCGAAGGACTACACTAATAGATATGCGTACTGCTTGACCCGGTCTAGAATCATCAACCCACGAGTTGCCAGCGCCGGTGGGTCGCTCTCTGGAAAGCAGCTCTCCACTGAGTACTGCAGCCTCGCTCGTCTTTGAGGTGCCCGTAATCTGCCGTGGATGCTGCGGGCCCGGAAACCCGATGGATACTGATTGCACCGCAGGTCTTTCCCTTGGGTGTTCTTCTCGTTTTTTCACGTTACCTTCATGGACCACGCCAAAATGAGTTGAATCTTCCTCTGGTGATGGGCCTCGCCTCGTCGTCGTATGACCCACATGACGTTGACGTTGTGCGTATACGTCCATCCCTTCAAAGCTGTGTGGATTATTCCAAAACATCGCTCCACCCGACAAGCTTTGAGTTTCCACACCATCCGCTACCACAGCCTGTCTTAGTCGCGTAGAGCTGTAACTCACTCTCTTCCCCATCCCCCAGGCAAGCCTGTCCTTGCCCACGCACTATGCGTTGGTTGGTTCGTTCGCCTGCTTGTTAGCTAACCAGCAGCTCCCTCCGCGACCTCTTCCCAGCGCCTCTCTCGTCCCCCCTGGCACCCCCATGCCCCCACCGTATTCATCCCCCGGACCCCCCTAGGGCCCTCTTCCGCCTCCCCCCCCTGCATAAAAAACCGTAACCCCCTCTTTCTTGTTCTTCGTGTGCCGCGACGCGGCGGGGTTTCCGCAGGTGGTGGCATTTGACCAGTCGTCGGTCTCGCACAAGAGGAGTTGGTCGGAGGTGATGGTGAACGGAGTCCTATACCTTAAGACGGCTCAGATTGGACGGGGCGGCAGCAGCAAGGTTTTCAGAGTCGTTGCTCCGGATTGTGAGGTGCGGGTTGTTCGTGTGTGTGTGTGTTTGAATGAACATCGACCAAGCTCGCCGGCTGACAAGTGACAAGACATCAGCCACGGAGCGGGATAACAAACAAAATCGAACACGCTTTATATTCAGAAAGTTCTACCGACACGGCTGTGTGTGTGTGTGTGTGTGTGTGTGTGTGTGTGTGTGTGTGTGGATCATCCTCTCTTGTTTCTTGGGGAATGATTCGCCATCGCTGGTCATGTGTGGTACTTCTTTTGACGACGGTGGCCAAGTCGCCGCTGTTACCTGGTGTACGGTTTTGCTGTTTACATGGCGGTGTTGTTTGTGGCTTTGTTAAATAGTTGTGTTTTTTTTTTGTTTATGGCCTTGGCTTACAACTGCCTACGGTCCATTGCCCAGGGTCGCCGGTGACTCCGCGAATGGCATGAGCATCGGTGATTGGTGCTGTGGAAAAAATGCTTCGTCCTCTCCAGGACACGTGATCAATGGTCTACCAGCAAAGACATGCTAAAACATGGGTACACCCCCCCCCCCC